ATGAAAATGGAGTTTTATGGGGATAAAAATGGAAAATGGAGTGGTTGCACATATGTAATTGTAAAGGGCATCCAATTAATTAAAGATTTCATAAGACTTGCATCGCCGCCTAAAATTAGCTATGAATATGCATCTAAAACAGTAAGATGCTAATAACATCAAGAAGGTGATGATGATTACATTTAATTCTCATTTCGCTGAAATGTATGTGAGCATGATTAATGATATTTGATATCATTCTCAACACAAAAAAACCAAGTAGGAGACTACATAAATTAAGGGATATTATCAGTGCAAAGATTTTTAATTTATATAGAAAATTATACTTTTTTGTTATGATAAAATAGTTTGAAACTGTAAAAGAGTAGACCTAGGATTTGCTCCCCAAATGTTGGTGTGGATCAAATGAAAAGGTGCACTACTATGGGATGATGAAGGCAGGAAAAATAAAACATATTGGTTTTTGCCAAATTCATAGGTATCATTTACAAATTTAAAATAGAGCATGGTACATAAGTGAGTTCTGAAGATGGCAAGGAGGTGACCCTAACGACTACATCATTGGTAAGAAGAGAATGATCACATGACAATGGGAGTAGCAACACTGAGATAATAAATTCCTTGAACTTCAACACCCCTAATTATCTTATTCATGTTGAGATCCTTAAGGGCATAGGGGCTATTTGGTTGGAGGAAATGTATATACAATGCATATTAAATGCTTTGCTTTTTAACTTTTCATGGTACATAAGTGAGTTCTGAAGATGGCAAGGAGGTGACCCTAACGACTACATCATTGGTAAGAAGAGAATGATCACAGGACAATGGGAGTAGCAACATTGAGATAATAAATACCTTGAACTTCAACACCCCTAATTATCTTATTCATGTTGAGATCCTTAAGGGCATAGGGGCTATTTGGTTGGAGGAATTGTATATACAATGCATATTAAATGGTTTGCTTTTTAACTTTTGGGTGCTTGGTTGGCCACCGAATTAAGGTAAAATAAATTCGTAATGTGTTCGGAACTCCTCTTTAGTTTATTTTTTGCATAAAGTAAAACCACTCAAAATCGAGCAAGAAAGGAATTCACGGGGCAGTAGCTTACTTCGGCCCCTTCGTTCCTACTTGACATCACTTTTGGAGGCATCCAGGGTTTGATTTTCATCTTTTCCATTTCTCCATTGTTGTTCGACTTTGTTCAATGGGAAAACGGATGGTACAGGTTCAAGAGTGGGAAGAGCTGTGGGAGGAATGACATCAAGTCTCGTTTGCGTGAAATGGGTAGAGGCGGGATGGGAGCCGTTTGTGCATGGATCAGGTGGAGGTGGTGTGGGTTCGCTCTCTTGTGCAGGAGCCGAACGGTGCAGGCGAAGGCTAGTGTCGGGTCGGACGCAGACGAAGGCAAAATTTGGGATTGGACAGGATGTCGTGCTCGATTGCAGCCTGCGAGATCGTCAATCATGTGAAAGCCTTACGAATTGCTGCAGCTTATTGCTATGAGGTATGCCTTTCTACTTGTTGATTTGGCACTTCGCGCGGGAACTTGGAGCCACAGGATATCCAGACCAGTTTGTGCGGGAACCTGGAGCTGCAAGGTTTGTCTTCAGTGTTTGATTTTTCTGGAAATGTTAAACTAGTTGGTGATCAATTGGGGGCAATGGGCTCATTTTACTTTACTCTGCATACACCAAACCAAACAGAAAAAACAATCCTCTTGCATTCTTACAAATAACCAAACAACCTCAAAGAATTTACTTTACACTGCATTCACTTTACAGCAAACCAAACAACCCTATTGTGAAAAGGATGAAATGTTATCAAGTACATGTGAGTTTTGGTTAGAAAATGAACATAAAAGATTTATAAGAAATATAGAGGAATAAAATATTGTTTAAGGTTAAGGAAGATGAATGAAAGGTGGTACATTGATCACATAGAGAGCGTTTTGCATGGGTGAAGCTTTGAAGATGGTGAGGAAGAGGGTGACCTTGGCGACAATGGTATTGATAAGGAGAAAAATGATGATATGACAATGCGGACATCAACATTGAGATGATAAATAGTAGGAGCTACAACACCACCAATTATCTTATTCATGTTGAGATTTAGGACACCATATGAAGTATAAAAGGTTATCAAGCAATTGTGAGTCTTGGTTAGATAATGTGCGTAGAATATTTACATGAAATTGTGAGTCACATAAAATATTATATATCGTTAAGGAAGATGAAAGATGGATGGACCATTTGCTAGAGATCATTGGACAGCCAACAAAGACAATTACAAGTGAAAGAGAGGTCATGATAAAGGATAAAAATAATTTATTTTTATTGTGATATCAAAAGATGCATCAAAATCTATGACCCAAGATATATTAGTTGAGGAAACAATGATGACCTAGAAAAAGAGACATTATGAAATGTTGAGGTTGAGATATATTTTTGATATAATTGAAGCAAGTGATCATTTTTCTCCATTGATCAAGAGGACATGATGTAAAAATAAGCAGGTTTGGAATGGTAATTGAAGATGTTGATTTGAGGATGAATTGTTGAATATCTCCCAACAATGTTAAGTAGATAATTTGGGTCTGCTACGATGGACAGGTTTGATGATCTGGTAGCAACCAATGAAGATTTTGGGTCTGTTAAGACCATCACGACCAAGTATCCTCGACTATCCTTTCAAGTAGCAACCAATGAAGATTGTCCAGGAGTGATGATGTTGGGGAGTAGAGAGTCCTATGACACAGAACTTGAATGAGAGTATTTGCTATATTAGGGACAGTAGAGTTATGTATAAACTGAGATTGCACATTATGCAAAAAAGATGTACGCTGGGAATATATAGTGACGATGAATTCTTCAATTTATTTCTACTATGTAATGGTATCATTGGTGAAAGGGAGATAGTGAAGTAAGTTGCCCTATGTTTTTATTATTGTGTTATAGTACTCTTGGATTTGCATTTCATTTTGCTGAAGAGAAATAAAAATCTCATAATATAGTGTAAATGCAAGAGATGTTACTTTCTTGAAAATATTTGGAGAGAAGAAATTCTTGCATTCTTTTGGTAGGATCCTAGATGTGATAATTGAAATGGTATAAGGTTTAAGGCTATTAAGTAACCAGTTAAGGACAATACTGGTAGATGTTTGTTAGTTGGACACTATGATGCACCGACACTTCTCCTCAAAGAGGCATGCAATGTCTGACACATGTATCTGACATGACATGCATCCGACACATGTTGGATAAGTCGAAAATGTGTCCGATTAAAAAAAAATTAAATACAAATTGGATACACATGTTTAATATGCATGTCCTAAATATTTTATGAATTTTTTAAATATAATTTCTTGTATTTAAAATTTTTATTAATTTAAATATTAAAACTAAATTTCTTATTTCTCATCCACAACACCAAATCAATCGCCCTCGCTCAATATCCCATTCATCGAATATTCTCTTTGGTGGGTTGCGACTTTAGTTTCACAACAATACCTGATGACATCGACGTATGACGTCATCACAACATCAATATTTCAAAACTATGAACATCAAAATCTGACATTGTCTTGACATTGATGCTTGATACTATAATTTTCTACACCGACAACTTTACAGCTCATCTTTGTTCGACGTCATCTTAGCATCGACAACCAACGACCTCTCAACATTGACAACAGACGCCCTCTTGATATCGACTCCCAATGCATAACATCGATGTCCGACTCTTAACAACATTATCGTCTAATGCCCGACTCTCGACATCCTAATATTAATCATTTTAAGCATAAATTATTGTTAAATGACTTATTATTTCTAATTTTTTTTAATATTATACTTATTCAATTTTTATATACTATTTTTAAAATATAAAAATTATAATACCATATCCAATCCGTATCCGTATCCTAAATTTTCAATAATTGACGTGCCTCGTATCTGTGTTGCCGTGTCCGTGTCTGTGCATCATAGCTTGGACAACTTGATGGTATCAATATTATTCGGAGAAAAGGCATCAAGATGATGATGCACTTGTGAGAACCAATAAGAAAATGAGAGGCCCTCAATCATAGAGCATAATTGTTACAATTGAATTTTATGTTAGTACTAATATCAGAGAAGGGTTTCAATTTGTTGAGGTATGATTGTGAGGCCATGATGCTATTTGGGTGATACAGGATGCATGCACAAGTGCAGTATCATAGGTGAGTGTGGGGTGAGTTGGGGGTGTGGGAGCATGTGGGATCATTATGGGAATGATAGAAGAGTAATGACAGCTAGGGTTAGGACTAAAACTGCTTTTGATATAATGTCAGAGAGAACTAACTTTTTATTGATTGATTACAGGTGCCTATAGGCATATAGGTCAAATACAAAAAGAAGATTACTAGGAGAATATCCTCAATTATCAGGATGTAAGAAGCAAACTTAGCACTTTTTTACAATAGCAGTTTAAAATTAGTGTACTATGTGAGATGGCCTCTAAGATCATATATTTTTTGACAGATGAGGTTCTTTTCTATTTTGTTTTACTTTCCTGTTTCTACTTCAAAGAATAAAGATGGTAATCTGGATGCTGTTTCATTGAGACAACCTTACTTTTTTCCAATGAAACTGGTTTGTGTTTATTGCTCCATAAACTAAGTTAAATTCAAATATTCTTTGGCATTTATTGTTCCATGAGAAAATCTATATTTTGATATGTCAGTTCATTTGTGCTATGTATATTGAATTTTTTTTAAAATGAGAGGAAATTACCTTTTTTTGTTCGTTGAAATGTTTGATATGCTAATTTCCTACCTTATTGTTGTTAGTATTATGCAATTTTTTATTTTTCTTGAAGCATCTACTGTAATTTAGTTCTCCTTATTTTGATGTTCATTGTCGAAGCCCTATGTTCTCTCTTATGTTGGGGGTTTGTACCTAGAATACTTTCAATACCATTTGTTTTGCAATTGTTTTCTTTATTTTGGTCTTTTGTTCTGCAGGTAATTGCTTTACTTAGTGGTTTTGCATATTTCTTGGACAGAAATGGAAATTTCAGGAACTCTTTTACTGATGGTTGGGATCACATTTTGTCTAAGCATCCAATACCCTTCTATTATTGCTTAGGTATTTTCAGTTGCTGTGAGAAAGAAAATATAAGTTTTAGTTAAGGCTTTTTTGTTCTTGCTTTATCTTGAATCTTGTGTAACTAGAATCTGGATTTTTCTTTCTTTGTTATTATTGTTTTTGGATAGAGGTAGACTTAAAAAGATTTAGTTAGAAAATATTAAAAATGACTTTTTTTTATTAGATTTAAATGAGAATTTGGCACTTAATAGGACACAACAGAGAAAAAGGATTCATGTAGCTGATCCCAAGTAATTGGAGGATAAAGGCTTGATGTTGTTGTTGTATTTTTTATTATTTTTTGTTGGCATGAATCGCCACCAATCTAGAATCATGAATTGACCTTTAAAGTATTTAGGTTTTTCATGAGTTAGATTAAATGATCCTCATTTCATATGGAATGAAAGGCTGGATAGTGAAAGAGCAGCATCTATCAAAGATAAAATTATAAAAAATAGTGTGCACGAACAGATATTTAAACAATTGTTAAACTTAATACAACACTTTACACCAATTAAAAACAAAGTAGGTTCACCCCAAAATTTACTGATGCTAATTATGACTGCATATGAGTATGTGTGTCCATTGATATTAATCTCTACGAATGAGAAATCTTTCTGCATTATATCGTCATTCGCCATTGCAGTACATATGATGGAAAACTGGTCTTAATTTGCCTGATTTTATATTTGAATCACCCGAGTAAGTTTCCAGCATCGTATTTTGAATGTAAGTATAAATACGCCTGATCTAGTACAGGCACTCTTTTACTTGTTGCACAACTTACCATTCCTTTAGCTGCATTCATATACCAAGAAATACCAAATTTATCCATGCGATGAAGTGTTGTGGAAACTGAACTTTCTTTTGCTAATGCTGGCGTGCTGGTTAGCTAAAATGCCATTATGATTATAAAATTTTAAGAGAAGTTTGATTGGGTGCCGGAAACCTTGGTCAACAGTGTTTACTTTTGATTGTTGTAACATGTCCTATAGTTTTGATAAGTTGTTCTGGTTGGGAACAGTTTTTTCAGAGAATTGACTGCCATCTTGCTAACAGGAGTGCTAATTTTCTTGGTGCTACTGGGATTTTTCGGCCTGATCCTGCACTGTTCATCCTTCGGTAGCAATGATCCATGCATGGCTGGTTGCCGCAATTGCTGCTACGGCTGGGGCATACTGGATTGCTTTCCAGCATCAATGGAGGCTTGTTTTGCCTTAGTAGTCATATTTGTTATTGTCTTTGCTATCCTCGGAATTGCTTATGGTTTTCTTGCAGCAACCATGGCCATCCAAAGGATCTGGCAAAGGCATTATCACATCCTAACAAAGAGGGAGCTTACCAAGGCATTGAACTCACCTTGATACCATCTTTATTTCATGTCATTCAGATAGTCTGATATATTCTGCATTTCAGGAATATCTCGTGGAGGATCTGCGTGGGTGTTATACACCTCCAAAGATGGACCCAGAACATGAAGAACGGCTGAAACTGCTTAAGCTTCTGTGAGCTCAGTGGTAAAAACTTACAAATCAGTGGTTGGATGCGTAAGTTGTTTATGTTTTTGTATATGAATTGGTAAATATGGATAGTTATTGTCGTGAGACGAGGTACCAGTTTGTATCTGTAATGTAATTAGTTTTTTTTTTTTTGCACAGTTGCAATGTTGTCAAATTTGATTATCATTTTTCAAGGGTTGTATGAAGTTCATCAGGCAATTCAACCTTGATTGGCAATCATCTTTTCAAAGTTCCATACGAATGTGATTTATGGATCATCCGGTTGTTCGTTTAGCAAATGTATAATTGAAAATGGTGATTTTGTATTTTTTTTTTTTTTACTTTTTTATGCTGAATCTAAAATTATGATTTTTGTAATTATTTTGAAGGTAAATTATTAGATATTGATGATATTCATGTAATTTTATTATATTTATAGAAAATACTGACAATTTTTTTTTTTGACATTTGCTATAATTTTTTGAAGTATTCATATAAAATCTTCTTGTGGAGGTGAAATGAAAAATAGAAAATAGTTAATTTATTAAACTTTATTAAGGTTGTAAGAATTTTAAAGTCATTTTAAAAACATACTAGAACATTTTGACATAAGAGAATGCATTATGTACTCGTGTTTTAAATAAAATGGCATTAAATTCGTTAAATTAATAAAATTATTATTTGGATGTTCTAAAGAAAATCATTATAGTATTATAGTTTGATGATTGTATTATCATTTGATTTATAAAAAAAATTAATTTTAAAATTTTCATTATCATATACCTTAAATTTTTTATAAAAAATATAAAATTATCATGTGATAAGCATATAAAAATATATGAAAATGATTTAAATTTTGTCAATTATCTACTACATTGCAAATAAGAAGCTTTTTTTTTCTTTTTTCATTTGGGATAGTTTTATTACTGTTTTGTAAAAAAAAATTTTAGTGTTAAAAATTCTAATTCAAAAGCTCTTTTAGAAGGTAGTAAGAAGTTTCAAAACACGTCTTAATCTTTTATTTGTGGAAGCTTTCAGACGAATTAGAAATGGTATTGCAATACCACCAACCAAACAAGGAACATCAACAATAAAATATATATATAAAAAAAAAAAAAAAAAAATACACGACTGCTTCCAAAGACTCTCTATCAAGCTGAGAACATGAAGCATAAATAAAAGACCCATAATAATTGAATTGATGAAAACCTATTTGGCAATGAACAATTTGAGGAAATTAGAAATAATGTCCAACTTCACCGATAAATTCTAGAAATTCCAAATCTTGTTAGTGCAATTAGTAAAAGCCAAACTAAAACCAAGACACTTACTAGTAGAAGAAATCTTAGAAGCAGAAATAAAAGATTATAGTTACACAAGAACATAAATATTATGAATCTTACACAAATTCCTCACCCTAGCTTTAGAAATAGAGCCACTCGTACCCCTCACATTCTATATAATAACATTAACCATTAAAACTATTCAGAGAGTTATGAGCTATAATGACTTGAGGGGTATAAGTGGGGAATATTCCTATTACATATATTCTTCTTTTTTTCAACCTTAGTGAAACCATCATCCTTCTTCTCATTTGTGAGGACACAAGTAATGATCTTAACCATAGGATCTTTAGAAATTTCATCCATAAAAAAAATTAGATGATATAGGGTTTACCTTCATCATCATCATCATCATTATTATTATTATTATTATTATTATTATTTTGGATAAAACCCACTGACCGGCTTATGCATTAATATCAAAATAAAAGTACAAGGTCTTTAAGGGGACCTCCATCTCTCTATTACTCGAAGGAGCTACAAAAAAGCCAATAAAGAACCTTTGAGCTAGAGTTCCCCACTAAGCACAAGTACAAAGAAACCTAATAACATTCTAGATCTTCTAGATCCATTCAGCACAGTCTTTTCACCCTAAAAAGAGGCCTGCACATAAGAGAAGTCTCCAAAAACCTGCACAAAAAATCTGTAAAGATATTGATAAAAACAGATGACAATAATAAAATAACAACAAAGATAAGAGAAAAAGCATTAATGAAAAGATTCACATCATCCATCTTAAATGAGTGTATCCATGCCATCTAGTTGTTTTCTCTAGAATAAAACAAATGTCTCCAGAGAAAATCAGCCAGTTGGCATAGAGAGCAGCCATTTGCGAGCATATTCCCACATATAAGATTGATACCATGCATGAGAAAACCAAACAAGGGAATAAGAATACTAAAATGATTCCACCAGTCCCCATAAATAGGCACAATATCAATCATATAATCAAAAAGAATAATAATATAATTTAAATCAGCATGGGGCAAAAGAGAGAAAAAAGAACGACCGAACGACCCCCCATCACCTCAACCAACAACATTAATAACTTCAAATCGGGCCAACAGATTGAGAGAGTAAAAATGCAACAGCTGTCAGGAATGTAAGAGAGGAACAAAAGAAAACATAAAAAAATTAAAGAAAGAACCCCCCCCCCCAGAAAACATAAAAAAATTAAAGAAAGAAACCCCCCCAAAAAGACATGATAGCACGGTTCAAGAAAACCTGAAAGCATACATAATAGACAAACAATCCATTGTCCAAACCTCCAGCATAGTCATGGAAATATCAAACCCAACAAAAAGAAATAAAGGGATAAGCTCACACCAACTAACAAAAACCCAACAAGTAAAAAGGGTAAACCAATCAGACAAGAGAGCTTCAAGAGATAAGCACAACCAGCAGAATTAAAGACAGAAAAATTAATTGTTAGTTGAACATAAGGCATCTCAGAATGGTCCATCCTAACTAACCCCATTAGTTTATTTGGTAAGGAAGTCTCAAAATATTTAGTAAAACCAAGTAAATTACAACCAATCTTAGCCAGATAATCAACAACAACATTCCCTTCAAGTAAAAATGAAAAATAGAAAAAGAAATGAAAGAAAGCCATTGCTTAATATCTCTGATCATATAAAAATTAGATGGATTGGGAATCATGTAACCCTCAATATAAGAAATAAGAAGGTTAGAATCAATTTCAATTCAAACTTTAGTGATACCTGAACATATAAAAAAATTGCAAACCATATTGAAGAGCTTGAATCTCAGCCATGATTACAGTAGTAGAAGCACTAGGACCCGCAAAGGTAACAACAACTTGGCCATTAGAATCTCGAATAAGATCCACACAACTCATATTAGAGTTTTTGAGAGAGCCATCAATCTTAAGTTTAAACCAACCAAGATTAGGTTTAAGCCATCTCACAATTCTCTCATTAACAAAAGGGGAAGAAAATTAGAGAGAAATACCAAAATCAGCAATAATATGATAATAATCTTTGAAAGAATTGACCTAAATAATATTAGCCCAAAATTGTTTCATCACTTTATCCTTAACTTTTGCAATAATACTCTTAGCATTCAAACAAATATGCTCATGCTTAGCTTCATTCCTACTTCTCCATAGAAACCAACCAATAGTGAAAGGTAAAACATTATGAATATTAACTTTGGTATGAGTAAACCAAGCTTGTAAAATATTAGCTATAGAGTTATTATTAGTACAAAAATGAGCATTAAATAGGTTATGAAAATATAACCAAGCTTGAAGAGAGATAGGACCTTGAGCAAAAACATGATTAAGGTTTTCAGTGTGATAACAACATTGGCACTTAGAAACTATATAAAAACGTTTTTTCAGTAAAATAGAATCAACAAGCAAATAATTATGAAAAATGCTCCACACCAAGATAAAATAAGACGAAGGAATAACACAGTGCCATAAACCCAAATAACGTATAGAATTAGGGTAAGAATGCATAATAAAATTCTAAACTTGTTTAATAGCAAACTTACCATCATCAACATGAGTTAACAAAATGCAATCCTGTTTTTACAATTGAAGGGGAATTTTGGTAATAAGATTAAAAATATTATGAGGAAGAATATTAATGAGTAAATCCACATTCAAAACACCATTCAAAATAAAATGATTAACTTTGCAAGTAGAAGTGGAATGAGTATTCAATAAGTTATCAATAGAAAAATTCTCCAACCATTATCTTGCCAAAAGAAAATGTTGCCAACCCCCATACACAATTGAATAAATTGCTCAACCTCCCACTTGATAGAAAAAAGCCTTCTCCAAATTTAAGAACCCCCCTTATCTAAAATGACAAATGAGGGGGTGTCTACTAGCACAGTACTTAACAATCATAAAATTAGCCCACAAACTTCTCTTGGTTCTTAAAGAAAACAAAAGTTTATAGGAGAAGGCCTTAACCATGTCACACATACTTTTAAAACCAAGTCTCCCATCCTTTTTAAACTGATAGCAATTAGTTCAAAAAATCCCACATGATGGCCGACTGACTCTCCTGTGCTCCAAAAAAAAAAAAAAATGAATAACCTTTCTATTATGCTACAAACATTCATAGTGGGATATAAGGTATAAAACATTTAAATAGGAATAGGACAAAGGACATGTTTAATTAAGACCAATTTACCATCAAAGAAAGAAAATTAAAAGCCCAAGTGGAAAGCTTATTTTGAATAAAAGTGAAGATGTCACCAAATAAGTGAGATTTCTTCTTACCATTGAAAAGTGGAGTGCCTAAATACTTTAAAGGTGATCTCTTATGAGAAAAACCAAACTTGTTATGAATCACATTGATTCTATGATCATAAATAGACTTTAAAGAAAGAAAATAACTCTTCAAGGGGTTAAAAATTAAGCCAATACCCCTTTGAAATTGATAGAGATATTTAAAAAGGATGTAAACTATTTTGATAGATCCAATGTTTACCTTTTATTATTATTATTTATTTATTTGTTTGTTTATTATTATTATTTGGTTGAAATCCACCGAAGGGGCCTATGTGTTAATATAAAAAAGGATTACAAGTTCTTAAGGGATTTCTAACTCGCCAATACTCAAAAGAGCTACAAAAAAAGAAAGAAAAAAACCTGAGAGCCAAAAATCCCCACTAAGCACAAATACAAGAATGCCTAATAACATTCTAAAAACCCAACTGAAAATTATTATTATTATGGGGAAATTCATAGAGGGGCCTACACATTAATTTAGAAAAAAATTACACTGTCCTTAAAGGGACCTCAAGCTCACTAATGCTCATAAGAGCTACAAAAAGAAAGCAAAAAACATTCTAAGAGCTTGAGATCCCTCCTAAGAAAAAATATAAGATAACCTAGGTACTATCTACGGTGCACAAGAACAAGCACACAAAAAGGAGGAAGAAACCAAAAAGTAGCATCCATATCCATCTTCCCATCCAAAATGACTCCATAATGAATACCTGCA